TTACATGACTTATTACAGACAGAGGCGATTCAACATATGGTTTGCGCATTGTTGTCTACTGGTTTGTTTTGGATTATGCGTTATGGAACAGGTTAGCAAAAAATGAATTTTTCATGCTTAAGTTAACTACATTTTGTAAATATAAAAGATGAACGATAACCACGTTCACATCATACGTTCAAAGAAGAAGCTAATTCTTTTTTATTTGAAAAGGTTTTCAGCCAGTGACATTTTTTCAATATGATATTCTGGACAGTATACTTTACAAAAAACTTAAGCTAAAATAGAGACATCAAAAACTTTTTATTTTTTAACTGTTCTCTGTATTTAAAGTCCTCTTTTTTTGATGCATTTGACACAGAAACAGAGCATAAAATGATAGAACTTTCCTAATTAGTAGAACCATAGCCGGCCTTTTTTGTTATTTAGACTCTCAATTGTTGTTTTAACTAATTTTGTGTCCATATTTTTATTGAATCTTATTTTATGAGAGATTAGGTTCTTTAAAGCCTGTGTTGCCCTTTTTCCTATATATACAACTTTATTATAAATTATAAACATATGTATTTTTTTATATATTTGTTTATATATAAAAAATAAATCCTTGAAACGATTTTTTGTAATTGTTGATATGTTTTTTATTTATTTCAACACACTTTACGACCTATAATCTTGAAATATTGCCATTGAAATTGTACAAAATAGCCTTATTGCAATTATGTTTGAAAAGAGCAAATCAATTTTTTTCATACTTTATTTAATTATTCAACGGGTAGGAAAAAATATTTTGTATATTGGCATTATAAATTGATTTTAAATGTAGTATTTCATCAGTAAAATGATCACCAATATCACTTTCATAAATTTCTTTCAATTTTCAAGACTTATTTTGCATTTCTTGATCATTTAAGTCTCAAAATAACCATAAAACGTTTAACTAATAATCTATTTCTTTTGCTTCATTAAATCTGTCGTATTTCTTATGATGCTCTCCATGAAAACAATAAAAATAATATTAAAAAACTCTTCTGTTGTTTTCTTCCTAACTCGTGTGCTGTTTTTTTACTTTTAGTATATTTTTTTCCAGAAAAATCTGTATTTATCTCAAAAGATGTGCACAACAATCTACCTTCATTTAATAAAGTGTACTAACTTTTATATTTCGAATGATGTTGATACCATGAAAACATTTATGTTATCATGATACCATGAAAACATTTAAAATAATATTTAAAAACCCTTCTGTGGTTGTCCTTTTAACTTCTGTGCTATTTTTTTACTTTTAGTATATTTATCTCTAAAGATTTGCACAACAATCTATCTTCATTTAATATATTATAATCAATTGCAGCTCACTATGATTGTTAATTGTTGTTTTTTTTTTCTTGACTATTTCAAAAATTTAGAGCTTTAACGGTATGACAAAGTTGTCGAAAAAAAGCATGAGAGCCTGGTTGGAATTATTGTGATATACTTCTTCCAATCACGTTACAGGAAGGCAAAACTTGTATATATGTTAAGTAAAATTTTTTTTTAAGAAGAGAATAACTCTAAGAATTATATAGCTGAAAGAGCATCTTGCAAAGACAGATAAGTACGTTGCAAGTTGTTCACGAGTTCCTACTGAGGTTCAAGAAGAAGTAAAGTCTTTATTGTTGAAAAGCAATAAATGTTGTTGAAAAGCAATAAATGCGACGAAATTTAGAAGGTTAGTCAAATGGGAATGAAAGAGCCATTTCCAACTCGAGGTAATCCACATTTAAACACAGCACCACCATGCTAATGTTCTGTCAACTTCAACAAACAAGTTCATAGATTTCTTTACACAACAAGAAACCATTGGTAGCAGGGGTGCTGAATGCTCCACGGGTTATCAAATGCACTAATTAACCTTAAAAGAGAGTTGAAAAAAAATTGAAAGAAGACGGATTCGCAAGTCTACTGGAAGTTTCTTTTATGAGAATTCAATATTGTCCAATGTTTATTGTCCGTTTTGTCCGTTGTCCAATGTTTATTGTCCGTTTAGTCAAATGTTTATTGTCCGTTTATTGTCCGTTTATAGTGGGCCATGATGAACAATGTATGTAGATTTGTAAGTTTTGGATGGGGAACATGGGATATAAAAGAAGAAGAAAATGCAATTGCTCTCACTGTTGATAAAGCAAAAACTTCATGGGTTGAGACCTGTTGTAGTACTATTTTTGACAGTTAAACTGACACAAAGGGGTCTATACTGATAAAATTTTTAGTTAACATCCAAATAGATACTGAATTTTTAAAGTTCATTGATGCATTGAATAATGTGAAACATGCAAATTGCTTTTAAGATTGCTTGATGAAGTCGTTTGAAAAGAATGTTATCTAAGTGATAACAAACAATGCCTCAGCCAAAAAAGCGGCTGGGCGAATATTTATGGAGGTGGAAAAAAAATTGTATTTAAACCTTGTGCAGCACGCTGCATTGCTTAATGTCGGAGGGTATTCTTAAGTTACCCAACCATGCTTCTTTGTTCGCCAAGGCCAAGAAAAGAATTTTGTGGTCAGTATTCGAGAGCGATCGCTCTCGAATACTGACCACAGAAAATATATTTAGTTGCAAAAAACTAGCCAGGTTTTTTAGTTGTTTTGAGAACATTTAAGTTTATGAACGAAACAAAAATTTTTTGATGGATTTCAAAGTTGGTGTCACCAACTTTGAAAACCATTTGAAATCAAATGTTGAAAATAACAACAGTATTTGTATTTATATCAGTATTCATATCAGTTTAAAGTTTTAACAGTTGCTGGTGATTCATTGTTATTCATTATATAAACGTTTATTTAAATTTATCTAATAGACGAAGGTAATACAATATTTTTATAGATGATATTATTTTTAAAAATAGTGTTATTAAAATTCAGAACTAAAATATGTAAAAAAAATTATTTACAAACATCATGAAAATCTGGAAAATTTGTTAATATTGGCTAAAGTCGTGGAAAACCTGGAAAAGTCAGGAAAATATTTTTTCTTTAGATAGTCATGGAAAATTCAGTAATTCTTGATAGAAGTTACTCGTTTCACAAATAAACGCTGTATTTTCAAAACGTGATGAGTCACACTTTTTTTAAAAGTGAGGTTATTTGAAAAGAATATTTTCAAAAAAATATTCTTTTCAAATAACCTCACTTAAAATAAAAGAATATTAAAATAAAATAAATTTTTTTTAGATAAAATAAAGATTATTTTAGATAAAGTAAAGATTTTTTTAGAGAAAAGAAACAATCTTTAGATAAAATAAAAATAAAATTTTTTACAGGAGAAATATTTTTCACTACCTTGTAAAATTTTAATTTTGTGACTTGTCACATTTTCAAAATACATTGCTTAATTAAGCTATAATGTTTTTTTTGGTGCTATCCATTTATTTTTTCTGAAATTTATGTTTTTTCTTAGTCGTCATTGAAGTACAACTTGGTAAACTACAAAACACATCAAATTCAGTTATAAAAATTTGAGTAACAAAGGTATACTAATTATTGTATTGCCTGAAAGAGTGTCATTGCTATTAAAAGCAGTGAAGAATTCATGTATTCTGGAAGAAAAGAAAATACGAAAGTAAATAGTAAATATTTTTTTAAAATTTTTTTATGTATTTTGTATGATATCTTAGTACAATTTATATACTTTAAATAAAATACTCTTTGAAGATTTTTTGTAAATTACATTTTATATTAATTTAAGTCTAAACAAAAGTTACTTTAATTATTGTTAGGTTGTGTATTTTTGCAGGTCAATCATTTGGCACAAATCGGAGTTAAAGACAAATGGGAGATTGTATATTTTATTTGCTAAGAATAGTTTTTTAAAATGGCCTAGTTGTAAAATTAAACTATGCAGGGAGAGGACAAAAAATTAGAATTGAAAAAATGTTGATTGCATATGCTGCTATTGGTAAGTGGTTTAGAAAAGTTTATTTTTTCAGTTTCAATTTTGCATTACAGAATTACTTTCAATTTGTTATGATTCTTTGGTGCATAATTAAACAAACAACTATTTTTTTTTGCAGAAACTGTGAAGTCAAATAAGCACGGCTTATGCAGACATGTGATAGATATAGAGGAAGAAAAAATAATAATCGTGGGCACCAAATTTCATAAGCTAAACATTATTCAATAACAAGTAGCTCAGCCAATATCGAAACTACTCTATAAATTTTATAGTGAATTTTTTTTATTTAAAACTCAATGTGTCAGTTTTTGGTTTATGTTTGGTGTTTGCAATATGTGTATTTAACCGATAAATTATGTTAAATAAATAAATTTTTATACTTGTATCAGACCTTTTTTTTTTTTTCTCTATAAATTTTTAATGTAGCGATGCAAATCATCTTATTTGTAACAACGATCTAATGTTGCATAAAACGTTAGGCCGATATATAACATACGATATTAGGCCAATGTTGTATACAACGTAGGGCCAATGTTGTATACAACGTTGGGCCAATGTTGTATACAACATTGGCCTAACTTTATATACAACGTTGGGCCAATGTTGGGTAAACGTTGTATACAACATTGGGCCAATACCTAACCAATGATCAAACCTGCATTGGGCCAACATCGACTTTCAACGTTAAGCCAATGCATCATCATGCATTGGCCCAACGTTGGTCCAATGTAAGCTTGCTGTCTGGGAAAGGATTATACCCCAGACAGCAAGCTTACATTGGCTTAACGTAAGTTTTAACATTGCTAAGTTTATTCCCTTGGGCCAACATTTAGCCAATGTTTTTTTTCGGCGTATTATTTTAAATTCTGCAAATCGGTTTTTTGCAAATATCGTACTATATTGGGCCAACATTTAGCCAATGTTTTTTTTTCGGCGTATTGCAATTCTACAAATCGCATTTTTGCAATTATCGTACTACGTTGGGTCAACATTTGGCCAATGTAGTATAGGCCTAATATTTTGCCATAAAATTCTGTTCTTACATTTATACCGTAGCCAATGTTCGGCCAATGTAGTTGCGGATTAGCACATACTAGTAATATTTGTTGCGAAACAATTTTAAAAATGGTATCGTTTGACAGATTAAAACAAGGTTTTAATATTATCTTTCCATTTTTTTAAATTATAAAAATAAAAAAAAGAAGCTATATTTCTTAATCTTCTAAGAATCTTAAAAGGTTCCTTATAAGAAATAAACTTCAAGAGATTCTCGTGACTTAATGTATATAATTTTAAATAATGAAATATTTGTTAACATTTAAATAATATGCTTAAACCATTTTTTACTACAAACTAATTTATTAATGTAATAATAAAGGCAATAATCAATTTTTTTTTGTGTAAGACCTTAAAGTTATTTTTTTGTGTTTATTGCTGTATTGGCATTTCAAATGTTTGATTTATTTAATAATCTTTATTAAATAAATGAAACATTTCAAATGTTCGATTTATTTAATAAAGAAGACATTTTAAATGTCTTCTTTATTAAATAAATCAAACATTTGAAATATTTTTATAATTTATTTATAATAGTTTAGATTATATAGCTATTTTAAGATATATTATTAAAGGTATAAAAACAATTTGAAAACGATAAACAAGGTATCAATAATATATATGTCACATATTTCTAACAACTTTAATACATACTTCTAACAACTTCATAATATGTGGCATTGAAGTTGTTAGAAGCTGGTATTTAACATTATTAATATGTCTCTTTTGTTTGATTTTTTTGATTGTGTTTGATTGTGAAACCCCATCTACTAACATTAAAACAGTGTACAAAAAGTGATGTTACTAGAACTTATATTCTACTTATGTAAAGCTTTCTAATAGTCCGTCTTCCTGAGGCAGAGGGACATTATTCTTGGTTTTATTATTTTTTAATTTAATATCTCTGGATATTTTTCATAATTAGTTTGCGTACAACAGTTAACAACTTTAAGAAAAGTTAAATATCAAAAGAAAGGTATTAGAATAGGCTACAAATTTATATTGGTTGTTAGCCAAAGGGCGTATCAGGGGGGCTAGAAGGGGCACCGAACCAACAGCTTACCCGGTAATAAATGCAAATTTTTATAAATAAAAGAGTAACTTTTTGTGGAAAATTTTACTTTCATATGCAAGAAGTAGTTATAATTTGCTTCAGACCATTGCAAAATAAGAGAATTTTATTAATGTGTTATGGTGGGTGTTAGGGTGTCAGTTTAACACACCCTATAACTAAAAAAAAATTCAATAAATATTTTTATCTTTATTAAAAAAAAGTAAATCTAATAATAAATACAAATTTTTTTTGTTAAACATTTACAAAAATTTCTCGTCTTTACACTAGTAGTGCACATTTAGAATCAAGGGAAGGGGTGTGTGCCACAACGCCCTCCAACCTATAATAAGAATTAAATTTTTGTAATGCGATTTAAAAAAAATTAAATGCTATTGTATAAGATAATAAAAATTATTATAAAAACATATTTTACCACATTACAAGATGTTGCGATTCTTTCTTTACATCAGCATTCAAATATTCCCCCCCCCCCCCGCCCCCCCACCTAAAATAAATATTTAAAAATAAAAATACTATGAATTACAACAAATACTACCTTGCGTTTTGGCTTTTAGTGAATGATTAAAGTTTTAAGGTTCATCAAGCTTCATTATCTCCTGACGTAACTGAAGCATTACAATCAACCTCTTCCATTTGGGTCATATCATTTCCTAATCTAGCAATTTCAATTTTATTTTCTCTACTAACAGTATTATGTTTGAGCAATATTTGTCTTAGCTGTTCTCTAGCTTCAATTTTTATTTTTATTTTTTCCATTACAAGATTGCGAATATACCTACCCAGACAGCAAGCTTACATTAGCCTAATGTAAGTTTTAACATTGGCAAGTTTATTCCGTTGGGCCAACATTTAGCCAATGAATTTTTTCGGCGTATTATTTTAAACTTTGCAAGTCAGTTTTTTGCAAATATCGTACAATATTGAGCCAACATTTAGCCAATGTTTTTTTTTCGGCGTAATATTGCAATTCTACAAATCGGTTTTTTGCAATTATCGTACTACGTTGGGCCAATATTTGGCCAATGTAGTTTAGGCTTAATATTTTGCTATAAAAATCTTATACCGTAGCCAATATTCGGCCAATGTAGTTGAGGATTAGTATATACTTTAAAAACATTTCTTAAAATGGTATCGTTTGACAGAATAAAAAAAGGTTTTGTTTTCATTTTTTTTTTTTTTAATTATAAAAAGAAGAAGCTATATTTATTAATCTTCTAAAAATCTTAAAAGGTTCCTTATAAGAAATAAACTTCAAGAGATTCTCGTGACTTGATATTTTGTTTTTTTAAATAATAAAATATTTGTTAACATTTAAACAATATGCTTAATACTTTGTGTAAGATCTTAAATTTATTATTTTATTTTTATTACTCTATTGGCATTTCAAATGTTTGATTTATTTAATAATCTTTATTAAATAAATGAAACATTTCAAATGTTTGATTTATTTAATAAAGAAGACATTTTAAATGTTTTCTTTATTAAATAAATCAAACATTTAAAATGTCATACGGTATAAGTTTTTTTTTTTTCATAATTTATTTATAATAGTTTAGATTATATAGCTATTATAAGATATATTATTAAAGGTATCAATAATATATATGTAGCATTGTCGATGCCATTGGCAATGCCAATGTCAACTTCAATGCCATTAAAGTTGTTAAAAGCTGATATTTTACATTTTAAATATGTCTCTTTTGTTTTATTTTTTTCTGTGTTTGATTATGAAACCCCATCTACTAACATATTAAAACAATGTACAAAAGGTGATGTTACTAGAACTTATAGTCTACGTATGTAGAGCTTTCTAATATTCCATGTTTCTGAGGTTTAATTATTTTTTAATTTAACAATTTTGGCTATTTTTTATATTTAGTTTGCGTACAGCAATTAACAACTTTAAGCTTATACATTATCTTTAGTTATAACTTAATTATTAATGATTTGATTTATAGATTTTTAAAGCAATACAAGATTGAATTTAGCAGAAGGCTAAATTTCTGGAGACAAAAAAGGAAGACTGCGAAAATGACCAGTCAAAATAAAGATTAAAGAGGCAAAAAATTGTATATATCTTGGTGTAGATGATTTATCTTCATTTTGTTATAATAAAACAAAAAATGTTATTAAACTTTGGGATTTACCTGTAACTCCAAACTCTATACAGAATTTCAATGTTTGCTCTGAGAAGTTGACACGGCTGTTTCACTCTATATAAAAGTGGGCATGACGTCATGAATTTATCAAAAAAAAAAGTATTTCCGCATAAAAAGTATAAAAATTCACTAACTTTAAAATAATAGTATTTTTTTTCTAGAAATGCTTTCATCTTTGAATAAAAAATAAATAAAAGATCTATCTTTCCTTGTTAAAAAAATATTTACATTAAACGGACTATAATAAAATATTGTTAAAATATTGAATTTGATTTGGGATCACTTTTCTGTTTTTTGAGATTTTTAATGAAAACCTGTCTTGGGCCAACAAAGATTAGCTGACATAGCTACATGCTTAACAGTTGAAATTTAGAGCACTTATTAATGAGTGTCTATTTTATCATATTCTAACGTTACTGGTGTGTAATTGTCAAAAAAAAAAAAAATTTATTGCATTTATATATTTAATTTTATTATTTTTAAATGTAAAATTTAACATTTTTGATCAGTAACATAAGTTATTGAAAATTTAACCTTTTATGCATATGAAAACAAAAAACCTATTTTCTGTACCTATAGCTATGTCAGCTATTATCTTTTCAAACTTAGCATGTTTAGCAACAAATATTTTCAGTTTTCCCGTAAATTTTTATAAACATTAAAAAGCGATGACGTAACCTTAAATGCGTTACGTCCCAAGCAATTATCTTAGCAATTTCAACTGAACTACTGTTTTGGCGAGACAATAAAATAAACAAAGTTTAGCGGAATATTCTTGACTCGTGGAGAATTTTTGCGATTTTTTTATTACGTCTATTGTAGTGCCTGTATTAGTTTGCATTCGGTGTAAATAATGTTAATATATTTTATAATTGGTCTAACTATGTTTATATTAGTCAACAGAAATATAATTTTTCTGATTATTTTTGCTAAAAAGTACCTTTAAAATTTCGAAATTCGGCCAAGTTCGTCATTATGCGCGTTTATTTAAAAATCAGAGCAGCCTTGGATTATTATATTAATAATAAAATATAAAATATTTAGTCAGTGTTCATATTCCTTTTACAGAACGTATTTTTCTTTAATATTTCAAAAGTTATGAAAGTTTTAGTAACACCCCCTAAGTAATTATTTTCAAAAAATAACAAGAAGCCGTATGTCCACTCTGAAACAGCCGTGTTGAATGAACAAGTTTATTAAATGGTAAGTTTTTAAATAAAAGTCTTTATGTCTGATGATTGAAAATCTTTATTCATAGCTTTAGCTTTTACAACTTTAAAAACTTTTTCATATATTATGGTCAAAAAGTCATAGTGTTAATTAACATTTTATTGTGTAATAATCAACATATCAAAGCTTGGTCGGGAAGCGAAAGCGATCCCTTTCTAATACTGACCACGGAAAAACTGGCCAGGTTTTCTAGTCGATTTAACGTAACAAAAAATTTTTGTTGGATTTCAAAGTTGGTGTCACCAACATTGAAATCTATTTGAATTCAACTGTTGAAAAAAACAACAGAGTATTCTTTAACAGTTTTAACAGTTGCTGGTGGTTCATTATTATTCATTATATAAACGTTTATTTAAATTTATATAATAGACGAAAGTAATACAATATTTTTAAAGATGATATTATTTTTAAAAACTGTATTATTAAAATTCAGAATTAAAATATGTAAAAAAAGTTATTTACAAACATTGGACAACTTTATATTTCAAATAACCACACTTTTTATGAAAGTGAGGTTATTTGAAAAGAATATTTTTTTTTAGAAAAAGATAAAATTATAAGATAAAATAAAGATTTTTTTTGGATAAAAGAAACAATTTTTAGATAAAATAAAAATAAAGTTTTTTACAGGATAAATGTTTTTCATTCTCGTGTAAAATTTTAATTTTGTGACTTGTCACATTTTCAAAATAAAGCACTCAATTATGTTATTATGTTTTTTTTGGTGCTGCCTATTTAATTTTTCTGAAACTTATGTTTTTCTTAGTGTTCGTTCTTAGTCATCCTTAATAATAAGATCCATACTAACATGTATAATAAGCTCCATACTAATATCCAACTTAACTAATAGCTAAGTTTTATAAGTTTTGTCATTCAAAGCATGTACAATCTTAGCATTTCCATTACAGTAGATAGTAATTTTAAACATTTTGAAAAAACCATTGTTAAAAATGGTCAGGGAAATTCATCTGATTTTTTAAAAAAGTCATTGATTTTTATATAAATTGTTGGCTACGAACCCTGTAGGAGAAACATTGTTTTAATATAAATTTTTTTGTTGTACAGTGCAATCTGTATTTTATAAGAAACACAAAACAATTCTCGTTAATGTGTAAACATTAACGAAAATTGTTTTGTGTCAGTGCCAGAAATTAATTTCATAATTCATAAAAATAATATGAAGCCATTAGCAAGCATATATTTTGATCATTAAAAATTTGCCCCTCTGTCTTTAATTTTATCTGTTTTATTAGCGATTGTTGTATTTACTTTCATAAATTCTAAATATAATATGTAGTTAGTTGTATAGTTTCTTAATAATATAACTAACTTTAATGTTCAAGATAAGGTTGTAACCTTGAAAGATATGCTGGTATTATTGGCACAATGGGCAAGCATTGAAGTGCAACTTGGTGAAATACAAAACACATCAAATTCAGTTATAAAAATTTGAGTAACAAAGTTAGAATTTTTTTATGATCTGTTTAGGCATTTTCTATGATATCTTAGTACAACTTATATACTTTAAATAAAGTACTCTTTGAAGATTTCTTGCAAATGACAATTTATATTAATTTAAGTCTAAACAAAAGTTACTTTAGTTATTACAAGGTTGTGTATTTTTGCAGGTCAATTATTTGGCACAATTTGGAGTTAAAGACAAAGAAGATTGTATATGTTATTTACTAAGAATTGTTTTTTAAAATGGCCTAGCTGTAAAATTAAATTATACAGGGAGAGGACAAAAAATTGGAATAGGAAAAATGTTGATTGCTTATATTGCTATTGGTAAGTGATTTAGAAAATATTATTTTTTCAGTCTCAATTTTGCATTACAGAAATAATTTCAATTTGTTATGTTTCTTTGGTGCATAATTAAACAAACAACTTTTTTTTTTGTAGAAACTGTGAAGTCAAATAAACATGGCTTCTGCAGACATGTGATAGAAAAATAATAATAGTGGGTACCAAATATCATAAGCTAAACACGATTCAATAACAAGTAGCTCAGCCAATATCGAAACTACTCTATAAATTTTATAGTGAATTTTTTTATTTGAAACTCAATGTTTCAGTTTTTGGTTTATGTTTGGTGTTTGCAATATGTATATTTAACCGATAGATTATGTTAAATAAATAAATTTTTATACTTGCATTATACATTCTTTTTTTTCTCTATAAATTTTTTATGTAGCGATGCAAATCATCTTATTTGTAACAACGATCTAATGTTGCATAAAACGTTAGGCCGTTATACGATATACGATATTGGGCTAATGTTGCATACAACGCTAGGCCGATTTGTATACAACGTTGGGCCAATGTTGTATACAACGTTGGGCCAATGCTGTATACAACGTTGGGCCAATGTTGTTTACAACATTGGCCTAACGTTATATACAACGTTGGGCCATTGTTGGGTAAACGTTGTATACAACATAGGCTCAATGTTGTACACAACGTTGGGCCAATACCTAACCAATAATCAAACCTGCATTGGGCCAACATCGCTTTTCAACGTTGGGCCAATGCATCATCATGCATTGGCTCAGCGTTGGTTCAATGTAAGCTTGCTGTCTGGGATATTGCAGTAACATGATTTAAATTTTTTGTTTTAAGTTTTTAACTCCAGCTCTCGAAGCTTTTATAATTTCTTCTTTACTTAAAATGCTTAAACTTTAAATGTCTTAAAACTTTTATTTTAGGGCATGTTGTTCAATTTAGATTTCAATAATGCTATCTTATAACGTTGTCTTTAGAAGAGTTAGCTAATTGTGATGTCAAATAAAATAACCAACTCGGTAACTTTTTTTTTGTAAGAGTCATTTTTTCTCATAAAATATGCAGATTTGTTTATTTTTGCTATTGTTTGTGGGAGTTAGCTTTGCACTACTTACTGGAGATATAAAACTGATATTTTCTGATGATGCAATTGAGGAACAAGAAACAGTATCAATTGGACTAGAGGTAAGTGGCAATGACTGTGAGACTGTCAGCACCAGGGCATGGAACTCAAATGGCTTGTTGCAAAAGTCAGCTACATTAGTGGTATTTCTTGAAAAGTTATAAGACCGTTTTTTTACTACACTAAAAAGTTTTTGGATTTCATTTTTTCAAGTGTTAATGCTAAAATGCTCATAAACTTGTGCAACAGTTTTATTAAATAACTCTCCATTGTTAATAAATATAAACAGTATATGTCCATTTCTACAATCAATGCTCGTTTTGATAGCCAATGTAAAGTTAGCTATTATATATTTTTTTAAATTGCCAATAAGCATTATTTTTGTCTTGGGAGGCATGATACCTTTAAAAATTATAAATTTATTTAATTGCATAACTAATGAACAATAGGATAACTACATAAATATAAAAAAATATAAAAATGAGGTAAGTAAAAGTACAATAAAAATTTTAAATACTTTTGGTACACAACAGTCGGGTTCAAAATTTGAACTCTAAACACTTTTTATATAGCACAGAATTACATTAACTTCTTTTTTGGTTAGATAAAGATGAAGTTCTACATACTAACACATAAAGGCACTTAGGTTTTGACCTTTTTATTTACATTTTTTAAATTACAATAACAACACCTTTTAACTTCAAGTTAAACATTCAAAGTAATGTAATCAAAAGTCAAACTTGTGATTATATCACAAACATAATTACATCAGATATGTCATAAGTTAAAGTCAGACATCATAAACTCTTAAGGATGAGTTACATTATGTAGATCTTCAAACCAACTAACTTAAAATCTTTTTTTTAAATACAAAATGACAAATAATTCCTGATATAATACACTGACTAATTTTACGAAGTGCTTCATTATCTAAAAGAAAAGTTTTTTACACATAAGTAATTTTTTATAATTAAGTTTTATATAATTAAGTAATTAGAATAATTTTTTTATATCATAAAAAAAATTGTTTGTAAATATATATTAATTAAACCTTTAGGCTATACTCTTTCATCGACAATGAATGGATAACTGATTATAATTTAAGTAAATTAAATCTAAATTAGATTAAATTGAACAGTTATCTATATTTGTATCAGATTATATTGCTAAATGTTGTTAACGAAATCCCCCTCATCCGCTCACCGTTAAACTGTTAAAAAAAAAATTAGGTACCAAAAGTGCTTGTAAAAATAAGGAATGTGCTAATCAAAATAAAGCAATGAAATTGGGAAGGTGCATAAAAAATATGTAAACTTAAAAATAAGAACAGGTAGGAAAATTTACTCAGCATTTTTTCAAGGTTTACTAAACGTCTAAAGTACTACCAAGTTTTGGATGTAAATAAATTACCTTAAAAAGTTTGTCATTGTAATCAAAAGACACATAGAAATAAAATTTAATTACTCTAGATTTTAAATAATAACTATGTTAATATAAAATTCTAAAAAATAAGACTGCAAAACACCATCCTACCATGCACGTCAACACAAAAGTCGAAAAAACGGAGAACAGTATTTTGGTATAAAACTCGGTACCGTGAAACACGTATTGCTACGTACCTAACATTAACTTTAGTTATAACTTAATAATTAATGACTTGATTTATAGATTTTTAAAGCATTACAAGATTGAATTTAACAGAAGGCTAAACTTCTGCTCTGGAGACAAAAAAGGAAGACAGGAAAAATTACCAGCCAAAATAAAGATTAAAGAGACAAATTATTGTGTATATCTTGGTGTAGATGATTTATACTCAATTTCATATAATAAAACAAAAAATATTATTAAACTTTGAAATTTACCTGTAACTCTAAACTCTTTACAGAAGTTCAATGTTTGCTCTGAGTAGTTAAATGAACAAAATTTATTAAATGGTAAGTTTTTATATAAAAGTCTTTATGTCTGATGATTAAAAATCTTTATTCATAGCTTTAACTTTTAAAATTTTAAAGACTTTTTCATATGTTACAGTCAAAAGGTCAGAGTCTTATTTAACATTTTATTGTATAATAATCAACATATCAAAGCTTACACCACAGGCTTGGTTGGGAAGCAAGAGAGATTGCTCTTGAATACTGACCACAGAAATTATATTTAGTTGCAAAAAACTGACCAGGTTTTTTAGTTGTTTTAAGTTTATGAACATAACAAAAAATATTTGCTGGATTTCAAAGTTGGTGTCACTAACTTTAAAACCCATTTGAAATCAACTGTTGAAAAAAACAACAGAGTATTCATATCAGTTTAAAGTTTTAACAGTTGCTGGTGGTTCATTATTAATCATTATGTAAACGTTTATTTAAATTTATCTAATAGACGAAGGTAATACAATATTTTTATAGATGACATTATTTTTAAAAATTGTATTAATAAAATTCAGAACTAAAATTTAAAAAAAATTATTTGCAATTTAAAAAAAATTATTTGCAAACATTAAACAAGGTCCGTACTGTACCTTGAAAATCTGGAAAATTTGTTAATATTGGCTGAAGTCGTGGAAAACCAAGAAAAGTCAGGTAATTATTTTTTTCTTTAGATAGTCATGGAAAAATCAGTAATTCTAGTTAAAAAGTTTTTCTAGAAGAAATAGAACTAGAAGAAATTCTAGTTACTCGTTTCACAATTGAATGGTGTATTTTGAAAACGTGATGAGTCACACTTTTTTTAAAACTGAGTTTATTTGAAAATAATATTTTTTTTAGGAAAAGATAAAATAAATACTTTTTTTAGATAAAAAAAAAAATCTTCATATAAAATAAAGATAAAATTTTTAACAGGAGAAATGTTTCTCACTCTGATGTAAAATTTTAATTTTGTGACTTGTCACATTTTCAAAATACAGCGTTCAATTAATCTATTATGTTTTTTTTGGTGCTATCCATTTATTTTTTCTGAAACTTTTGTTTTTCTTAATGTTCATTCTCAGTCATCCTTCATAATAAGATCCATTCTAACATGTATAATAAGCTCCATACTAATATCCAACTTAACTAATAGCTAAGTTTTATAAGTTTTGTCATTCAAAGCATGTACAATCTTAGCATTTCCATTACAGTAGATAGTAATTTTAAACATTTTGAAAAAACCATTGTTAAAAATGGTCAGGGAAATTCATCTGATTTTTCAAAAAAGTCATTGAATTTAAGTAAACAGTTGGCTACAAACCCTGTTGGAGAAACATTGTTTTAATATGAATTTTTTTGTTTTACATTGCAATATGTATTTTATAAGATACACAAAACAATTCTCGTTAATGTTTAAGCTTAAACATTAACGAGAATTATTTTGTGTCAATGCCAGAAATTGAATGCACACCTGGAAATTTCATAATTCATAAAAATAATATGAAGCCATTAGCAAGTATATATTTTGATCATTAAAAATTTGCCCCTCTGTCTTTAATTTTATCTGTTTTATTAGCGATTGTTGTATTTACTTTCATAAATTCTAAATATAATATATAATTAGTTGTATAGTTTCTTAATAATATAATTAACTTTATTGTTTCAAGATAAGTTTGTATCCTTGAAAGATCTGCTGGTATTATTGACACAATGGGAAAGTATTGAAGTGCAACTTGGTGAATTACAAAACACATCAAATTCAGTTATAAAAGTTTGAATAATAAAGATATGCTAATTATTGTATTGCCTGAAAGAGTGTCATTGCCATTAAAAGCAGTGAATAATTCAAGTACTCTGGTAGAAAAAAGACAAGAAAATACTTAAGTAAATGGTAAATATTTTCTTATGATCTGTTAATGCATTTTGTATGATATCTTAATACAATTTATATAATTTAAATAAAATAATCTTTGAAGATTTCTTGTAAATGACATTTTATATTAATTTAAGTCTAAACAAAAGTTACTTTACTTATTGCCAAGTTGCGTATTTTTGCAGGTTAATTATTTGGCACAAATTGGAGTTAAAGACAAAGAAGATTGTATATGTTATTTACTAAGAATTGTTTTTTAAAATGGCCTAGCTGTAAAATTAAATTATACAGGGAGAGGACAAAAAATTGGAATAGGAAAAATGTTGATTGCTTATATTGCTATTGGTAAGTGATTTAGAAAATATTATTTTTTCAGTCTCAATTTTGCATTACAGAATTACTTTTAATTTGTTATGTTTCTTTAGTGCATAATTAAACAAACAACTATTTTTTTTGCAGAAACTGTGAAGTCAAATAAGCATGGCTTATGGAGACATATAATAGAGATAGCGGAAGAAAAAATAATAATCGTGGGCACCAAATTTCATAAGCTAAAAACGATTCAATAACAAGTAGGTCAGCCAATATCAAAACTACTCTATAAATTTTATTGTGAATTTTTTTATTTAAAACTCAATGTGTCAGTTTTTGGTTTATGTTTGGTGTTTGCAATATGTATATTTAACCGATAAATTATGTTAAATAAATAAATTTTTATACTTGTATCATATATTATTTTTTTTCTCTATAAATTTTCAATGTAGCGATGCAAATAATCTTATTTGTAACAACGATCTAATGTTGCATAAAACGTTAGGCCGATATATAACATACGATATTGGGCCAATGTTGTATACAACGTTATGCCAATTTTGTATACAACGTTGGGCCAATGTTGTGTATAACGTTGGGCCAATATTGTATACAACGTTGGGCCAATTTTGTTTACAATATTGGCCTAACGTTATATATAAAGTTGTACCAATGTTGGGTAGACGTTGTATACAACATTGGGCCAATGTTGTGCACAACGTTGGGCCAATACTTAACCAATGATCAAACCTGCATTGGCCAACATTGACTTTCAACGTTGGGCCATGCACCATGCATTGGCCCAACGTTAGTCCAATGTAAGCTTGCTATCTGGGACGTTATCTTTTTTTTGTCTAACCATCACTCTCGGTTTCACTTGAATACATTTTTAAAGCTAAAATTTTCGCACAAATTTGTTGACTTGAAGAGATAAATCTGACATTATTGACGATTGTTAACAATTAAACCAATCAGAACAAAGTAAATTTAAATTGTCAAACTTAGTCATAAAACTGCTTCCGCCAAAAACCTTTTAAGTCACTTACTAATTTTGTTTATGCAATGAACCTCTTTTACAAAGTAAGGCATGCTATCGGAAAAATCTGCCCACCTTTTGCGGTGTGGTAAAGCTACTTAACGGTCGTTTTTTGAAATATTTTTTTGTGTGTGGTAGTGTTTGTATAATAGAACATTTTGGCAGAAAAAAATAATTAAAAATAATATTTAGTTTCAAAATGTCAACCGAGCAAACTAAAGAAAGATTTCTGATTGTGGACAAAGACTTAAAAAATCCAACTTTATCGAATACAAAGTTGGAAAAATCATTAAAAATACCAAGAAGAACTGTAGATACTGTTCTTAAACGGTTTTCAGAACAGAAAACTATTCAGAAAAAAAAACAAGGAAGTGGTCGAAAAAAACGCACAGCAAATTTTAGAGCTCTCGAACTGTTAAAGACTTCATTGGAAGAACATCCTGATTGGTCTGATAGATTTCGAGCGAAAAAACTGAAGGTTTTTTCGGAAAAAGTTTTAAAGTAGTTAAAATGCCAAATCGCAACGATAAACAAAATTCAACCGCAAAGAGTCGAGCTCGAAAGTTATATGACAACTTGTTAACAAAACAAAATGGATGCATTTTGATGGATGACAAAACTTATGTTAAAATGAATTTTAAACAAATTCTTGGGCAATGCTACTATGCATCTAAAACAAGAGTAAATGTGAGTGATAAATACAAGTATGTAATTACTGATAAATTTTCGAAAAAATTAATGGTTTGGCAGGCACTTTGCTCTTGCGGCAAAAAATCGCCAATTCATGTTTGTTTGGGCACAATGAAATCTTCGGAATACGTGAAATATTGTCTTTCTCGTATAAAACGACTAATTAAAGCTCATAGAAGTACTTCAGTATTGTTTTGGCCTATTTAGCCACAATACATTACTCAAAAGATGCTCAAAAGTTTTATGATGATAATGAAGTGATGTTGGTTCCGAAAAAGATGAATCCTCCAAACTGCCCCGAATTACGTCCTATTGAAAATTATTAGACCATCATAAAAAAGAAATTGAAATTAAGTGGAAAAACAGTAAAATCAGCTACAGATTTGAAGAAAAAATGGGATTACGCTGGTAAAATTTACAAAAATCACTCTGTCCAGAAACTTATGGGAGGCATCAAAAAGAAAGTCAGAATTTTTTGTAAAACTTAACCTTTTTTTTGCTTTTTTCCTAGTAATATGTAATCTTTACAGTCTTAATTTTTTAGAAATATATTGATTTAAATACATTTAAGCTATCTTACATTCTTTTTTGATCAAGAATGGTGGGCAGATTTTTCCGATAGCATGCCTTATTGTTTGAAGAGGAAGAAATATATTGACATACATGGATTTAACCCAAAATATGCATCTCCTTTTAAGGAACTATTTTCAGCAAAAAAAAGCATTTCGGATAGGGAGTATAGGCAACTTTTAAAGTTTTAAACTTTTATTGATGTAAATCTTTTTTATTTTAATTGCATTGCGTTCCTTAACTATTTCATTTACAAAAAGGTTTCAACAACTTCTGTAGCATTTTTAGTTTTAAAGATATATGTGTTTTAATATTTCATATTCATAAAGATATATGTGTTTTAATATTTCAATTCATAGACTTTTTATGAAATATTTTCTTAAACTATCTCGTTGAGTTTTTGGTACCGAAAAAGTAACTTTTTTATATTTTTTTTTCTTGCGTAAAAAACTTTTTGCAAACTTTTGATAAAGATTTATTAGAAATTAAATCGTAAATCAAAATTATTTAAACGACTTATGAGTATAATTTTTTTTCAACAGTAGAAAATATTTAACTTAACTTAAATTTTTAAATCTTGTAATTTATGTTTAATACGTTTATTTATGT